TGGTTATTAAATGTTGGTGTGTATTGGAATTAGCTGGAAAACTCATGGGGTCCCCAGAGACGTTGCTTGTTGAAGTGGGACAGGATTGGACCTTTGTAATTTTATTAAGTTCCCCAAATGATACTGATACACAACAAAGTTTGAGAAGCAACGTGTTAGAACACAATTACAAGAGGCATGCACACTGTTTAGCTTACCCAAAGCTAAGCAAAACGAATGAGACTAAGCTGTATATTATTTGTGTTACACTCCACTAATCATAGCATGACAAAGGCTGCTTCTGTGAGGAGGATGGAGTAAGCATTTGAGAAGGAGGAATCCAACCAAGATGTAGGTAATATTTTATTTCTTAGCTTGCTGAAAGGCATACTGAAATCATTTTATTATTCACATTTAATGTATGTGTTTGTGCATAAGGTATATTTCACAATATAAACTTAAAAAGTAATAAAGTACAAAAGCTTTACTTTGAGCTGGTGCACCCCAGTGAGTATCTACATATGATGTGTTACTTTTGTTTGTGCTGCTGATTTACTGACTTCTAATAGTGGTGTATATACATTGTCTTGCTGCTTCTGCTCATTGACTGCACTACTGGAGGGAATGTGTGCCTAGGACAAAGGGAAAGTTTGTTTTCCAAACAGCCACTGGGATTGCCCTTTGCACACTAAAGAAGGTCCTGATGCCAGGGTGCTCATGGTGGTACAGAACTTGACCTGCTGTATGCAGCCAGGAAGTGCAGCCTGGTGTGTGCAGCCTGACATCAGTGAGCAGGGAGTGAGTGCATCCCTATACTCATCCCTGTGGCACTCAAGGGACCCAGGAGGACCAGCAGGGCCTGGCATAAAACTAAAACTGGCTGATCACACAGGTTTGGGACTGAGGCAAGGAGAAAAGTGACTTTTTTAATAGTCCCCAGGGAAGTGGGGAAGCTGCTTCTGTGGCTTCTTAGATTCTGATTCCAGATATCTCTGGATTGTACAGTAAGAATAGTCCCACAGATTTGAGGAGGTGGGTGGAGTATATTGGCAACCGGTTTACATGCTCTGACCCAGAGCACATGGATGAGAACTGGGTTAGGGAAAACAGGAAGTTCTGCAAGGTACCTACAGACCTTCACTGTGAGAAAGGCATATGGCAGCTAATGGGTTGGAAAGGGAGCCTTCAGGAGTTCCTCGGTGAGTAGAATGGAAAAGAAACAGTGCAGACTAGGGCAGCTGGGGGCAGAGGCTGAGCCCACTTGATGTTGTGGCTGCCCTTGGCCTACTTAGCCACTCACTCCAGGTGCCGCCCCAGGTTGCCTGGGAAAGTGATGGTTGTGCTTACAGAAAAGTACTGGGCAACGCTGTAAGTCAGCTCCACTACAGATTTCCAGGCTCCTGATTGCAGTGTGATAGGGAGATCTCAGTGCTGCTGATTCCCCCTCCAGAAAGTTGAGGGAGCAGGGAAAGTTTAATCAAAGGACTTCTAGAAAAATGACCTGTTTTCCTAGAGTACCCACTGCCATCAAGAGAATGTGGGAAAAACGAAAGGCATGAGACACAACCAATTCCTCTTGGAGGTATACTGGCCCTGATTCACCCTTTTGTGCATAATTTAAATTATGGTCTTCATGACCTCATGCTTTTTCCAGCTAAAAATTCTCTCTACAAGTCCTTTATATTCTGGCTTCAAGGTAAAACTAACAACCCATTCATTGCTTTTTCTTATATTCCTACTTCCTGTTAGATTAAAATGTGATTTCTGTCATTCTGTATCCTGTGTTTGGGGGGGCAGGGCCTTGGTCACCAAAGCAGCTAAGAGCAGAGCTGAGCATGTACATCCAGGCTCAGCTGTACCCTCTGTTCCCCTCCCTGAAGCCCAGCTGTGTTCTAGCCCCATTCCGTCTGGTAGTCCTGAAACGTGGACATAGTCAATTTCCCCACCTTTGGCTGTCTGTTGGTTCCAACCCAATAAAATCATCTTGAACAGTCTTTTGTCTGAAATACAGTTTAGTAGTTTAACCCTAAATCCAATATGTAATAGCATTTTAGTTCTTTTGAAATCCCTGTAATTCAGTATATTTGGAAACTGTTAATTATCCTAAAATGGTACAACCCTTAATGCTTTACTTACTTCCAGATCCAGCACGTGGTTTCAAGTTATCAGGCTTCACACACATCTCAGCTTCCTAAGACCGTTCCTGAAATACATTGTTTACCATCTTACCCTTAAAAATGTTATGTTCTTGTTTAAATGATTTTGAAACCCTCATCCCTAATTCCTAACCTCAGTAACTTCCTTTTTACCATCATATTATCTCAAAACTAGAAATGTGTCACATGCAAGGAGAAAGATTTAAGACCTGTTTCAAAATGTAGCTATTTGTAGTTAAGATTTTGTCTTGTAATTTACCACTGATTTAGTCCCTTCTTAGAAAGAGTGGGCCAGATGCGGTGGTTCATGCCTGTAATCCCAACACTTTAGGAGGCCCAGGCAGGTGGATCATGAGGTCGAGTTTGAGACCAGTCTGGGTAATATGGTGAAACCCCGTCTCTACTAAAATACAAAAAATTAGCTGATTGCGGTAGCAGATGCCTGTAATCCCAGCTACTCAGGAGGCTGAGGTGGGAGAATTGCTTGAACTGAGATTGGGTCACTGCACTCCAGCCTGAGTGATAGAGCAAGACTCCGTCTCGACAACAACAACAGAAGAGTGAACCAGAGCTTTTCTTAACCTGGCTATGTCTCTCTTCCACCACTGAAATTGCTGGCTTACACAGACTATCCCTGACAGAATGGTTTGACTTACAATTTTTTGACTTTACAATGGCATGAAAATGATACACATTCAGTAGAATACCCAGTTTAGTACCCATGAAACCATTCTGTTTTTCACTTTCAGTACAGTATTCAAGAAATCCCATGAGATAGTCAACACTTTATTATAGAATAGGCTTTCTGTCGGGTGACTTTGCCCAACAGTAGGCTAATGTGAGCATTCTGAAAGAGGCTAAGCTGTGATGTTCACCAGCTAGGGGGATTAAATGCGTTTTTGATTTATGATATTTTCAATTATGATGGGTTTGTCAGGATGTAGGCCCATATTAAGTTGAGGGGTGTCTGTATGTGTTCGTTTCCATTTTGTTGTGATTATCATATCGTACCTAGCTACAGAGACAGGTGCTCTCTCTGCTCTCTCCTCCTCCAGTTTTGTTCCTCTCTAATCCTCTCTCCCTACTGCAGTCAGACGTTTTCAAAAATGTAAATCTGTGGCTTGTTTGAGCCTAAATCCTTTCAAGGTCTCCTTATCTCTCTTAGTTTGGCCATTTTGTGTGGTGTACTGACCCTCTGTTCTCCCATCTGGCCCTGCATATGGCTCTAGCCCTGCCTCTGACAACTCTTCCTTCTGCCCTCACAAGCATTCCCTGCAATGGGGCAGTCACTCTGTCCCTCACCAGGTCACCTAAGGTTGTAGCATTTCACTCTCTCTGCTGCCTCTACCCTCTACCTGGATCAGGGAGCTGTTGGCAGCTCCCTCCACCTTCCCTCTACAGCATCACCAACTCCTCAACTGCAACCCTGCCCTGCCTACCAGTGGCACTTTGGCTAACAAGTTCATTCTCCGCAACTGGTTAGCCAGAAACAAAATCCATATTAGTCAGGGTTCTCTAGAGGGACAAAACTAACAGGATTGATGTGTATATGAAAGGGAGTTTATTAAGGAGTATTCGCTCACACGATCACAAGGTGACGTTCCATAATAGGCTCTCTGCAAGCTGAGTAGCAAGGAAGCCAATCTGTGAGTCCCAAAACCTCAAAAGTAGGGAAGCCACAGTGCAGCCTTCAGTCTGTGGCCAAAGGCCTGAGAGCCCCTGGCAAACCACTGGTGTGAGTCCAAGAGTCCAAAAGCTAAAGAATCTGGAGTCTGATGGTCGAGGGAAGGAAGCATCTAGCATGGGAAAAAGATGGAGGCTGGAAGACTGAGCAAGTCTGCTCTTTCCAGCTTCTTCTGCCTGCTTTATTCTAGCCATGCTGGCAGCTGATTAGATGTTGCCCACCCAGACTGAGGGTGGGTCTGCCTTTCCCAGTCCACTGACTCAAATATCAGCCTCACAGACACACCCAAAACAATACTTTGCATCCTTCAATCCAATCAAGTTGACTCTCAGTATTAGTCATCACAAGTCTACCCCTTGTCAGATACCTCAGGGAAACCCCGTTCTGGAAAGAGCTCCTGTGGTCTCCTTTCCTTGCTATGTCTGTGCTCCACAGTGGATCATACTGGGATCTGCTGCCCAGAATTCCAAGGGATGTTGTGAGCTCTAAATGAGCTAATGTGAGCAAAGGGCTTGGTGCAATCAATATGGACAGCACATGTATAGCCCTGGCACACTCAGCATATTCCATCCTAGGATACCCATGAGATTTACAGGGGAGGATAGGGCCTGATTTGTTCCTGGCTGTATCCACAGTGCTTACTATAGAACAAACTTCAGAGATTTAGGTAGACTTTGTGGAATGAATAGTGAATAAATGAATGGATATATTCTCAAAATTCATATATAAATATTTTGTGAAATGAATGTAATTCTAGAAGAATTCAGGGAAACTCATTGTATATTGGTCAACTATGGCAGAGAAACCCAGCTTTCCCTGTCAGAATCAGGTAGGTAACTCCCAAAAGGAGAGTTAGCCTTTCTGTCTGGCTAATGTCTACCATGACCTTTGATGGCACTGGTTCCTAAAAGCTTCACACCTGTGGAAACCAGTGCATCAGTGGTTTAGCCTCAAACATCTTTTTCTGGCCTTTAGGGAAAACGTTGACTAATCTTGTTTGCATCTAAGGGATATCAAGTATTATCTGTGAATAAGCAACTGATGAACTGTGTGACCTGAGCCCATCCCTTGCCCTCTTTGGCATTTGCTGTTCTGGCTGCTGACCTAGATGCCTCCTGATAGTTCTCTTGCAGAGATAGTTCTTAAGCGGATGCTAAGCACGGGCCTGGTTGTTCTTCTAGGAAATCAGTGACCCGGAGATCCTGGATCTGGTCCATAGCGCCCTTGGAAGGATGACCGTTGTCCGGCAAATCTTCCCATCTGCAAAGGACAATCAGAAATGCATGAGGAACAACCACCGTATCTCCTCCCTGCTCTGTGACCCCCAGGAAGGCTACCTCCAGATGCTGCAGGTCAGTGCTCAGCCTCTTCTCCCCACTTCCCTCCACCAAGAGTCTCACCCACACCCTTGGCCAAGGGAGACATGCGGGAGCCTCCTGTTGCCCACCCACTTCAATTACTAGAGCTCCGCCATTTATTGAAATTGAAACTGGTCGACTGGGCAGTGTCTGTGAGGACCACTAGCAGGCAATTATGCCTGTTGTCAGCAGACAGAGCTTATTGGCTCACAGGGTATCTCTGGTATTTAAAAGTTACATGCATAGAGGGTAAAGGGATTCCTGTATCTTATGTCTCTGTGATGACTGCTTGTGGAAATGTGTTTATCTGGCAGGGCTGGGGATCGAGTCTTCTTTGGGAAGTGATCATTTTGAACCTGCTTTAGGCTGTTATTAATACAGATATGACCCTTGCAAAACAAGTTGGGACTGTCCCAGCACATCTGGTGAGTGCTGAGGTTTGGGTCATCCAAGACGCTGCTGGATGCCGAGTTGAGCAGGGAGGGGCAGGACAGCAGGACCATGACGTGGAACCCCACTGGCTTGGTTTCTTCCAAGGCCAGAGGTACCAAGTGTTTCTGGTAACCCTGAGTATGTGCAATTGGCACTAACTAGTCTTGGGCCTTGGAATATGATGGAGAGCTATGTGCCTGGTGTAAGAGATGGTTTCTCTCTGGGTGTTTGGGAGCAACAGGGAAGCAGTGTGGAGAGTATTCACTGGCAGCCTCAGATCCATTTCTAGGTTAGAAATGTGGTGCCTCAGAAAACTTTCATGACGCTTAGTGAGAGCCACAAGACAGAAGGAAATTTCTTCCAGTTGGGTTTGTGGAAATTGTCCAGAAATTTGTACCTGTGATATGCTTGCCATTCAGCATTTGAAACTAGTTCCATTGTCTTTATCCAGCCAGGGATGAGGGGTAGAAATCAGGGTTTCAGAACAGAGACGGTTGTATCTGCCATCTGAGTATCAGCCCCACCCCATAACATTTTGTTCTCACCATGTCAGGGGCCGCACATTTTGGGAAAGGCAATTATTGGAATCTTGAGTGGGGCATGGACATGTGTCAAATTTACCAAAGGAATGAATCTGCTCTATAATCTCATATGTAGGGAGAAAAAGGAAACATGCCTCAGTGGATGGTAAACATGAGAAATGTGTTCCTGGTTGATGGGGAAACACAGTAGGTATTGATTTTATCTGGAATAATCCCCATTCTACCAGTGTCCACTGCCCCAGGGAGCCCACCAGAATGCCTGGGGTCTTTCGGTGGCCCAGAGAGTTTACCCAAGTGCCCTACAGCACTCATGGACTCAAGAGCCCTGGGCACCTGAGTCAGAGTGAAAGGCCCCTGATACAAGAGTTTGTATGTTGAGAAGCTGCTGTTCTATTCTGCCTTCCTTTGTGGAGTTTGGAAGAAATGGTGAAGGCCAAGCAAGTTCCTCTCACTATGCCTTTGTGGTTATCACTCCCAGCCTCCATGTGGATGGAGATGGCCTTAGACAGTGGGACTTAGACTGGGAGTGTGTGCCAATTCCTACCCAGTGCCGGTGGAGAGGGGAATCCCTTTGCTTTCTGTGGGGCCAGAGCCTGTGAGGGTCTCACTCTCTGTAGGGTCTTTCTATCTTCTCTCTCCCTTGAAGGGCTTCCTCCCTCTCCAAATACATGGCACCCTTGACTCATATGCCCTAAATCATTCTCCAGGTCTTAATTAAACCATACTCAGTCTCCTTGAAGAACAAAGATGGGGCCACTTTACATAGCACAGAAGTGTCTGCAAAGGTTGGAGCAGGGGAAGAGGAAAGTGCTTCTCGTTGAAGTCTGTGATGCTTCCTTTTGCTGTGGGTGAAATGCGTAGGTGGGCCCTCTGGTTGCATATCAGATACATTGGATACAAAAAGTCTTTCCACTGGAGGAGTGAGAAAGAGAGACTGAGGGCCCAAAGGGGAATCTAGCTGAGTGCCTACTTAAATGACAGGTGCCCATGGAGAGGAGAAGCAAATGCGCGGCTCCTGGATGTGTAGCCAGACATCATCAAATGAGGTAAATGCAGTGTCAGACCCAGGAACCCTGGGACACTCCAACTCCCCCTGTTCCTGCTGAGACCCAGGCACTACATAAAGAGCAAAGCTTAAGTGCAACACTACTGGAATCTTCTAATAATAGCAGCAGCAGTAAAGGAGGAGTCAAATTGCCTGGGTTCAAATTCTGGTAACTCTAGTTGCTAGCCAATTATTTCATTATTATTATTTGTTTATCATTCTGTGCCTCAGTTCCCTCCTTTCTAAATTGGAGGTTAGAATATTACTTCCAAGAGGCATAATAAAAATTAAATGGGAGAACATCCAGAAAGCATTCAGTTCAGAGCTGAGCTATTAGCAGTACAGGTTGAGTATCTCTAATCTGAAAATCCAAAATCAGAATTACTCTGAAATCTAAAACTTTTTGAGTCCCAGAATTACACTCAAAAAAAAAAAAAAAAAGGGGGGCATTTCAGATTTTGCATTTTTGGTTTAGGGATGCTCAACTGGAATTGGAATGTAATGCAAATGAAAAAAAAAAAATCCCAAATCCAAAAGCCTTGTGGTCCTAAGCATTTTAGATGAGGGATACTTAACCTATTATCATCGTTACTGAGGAGGTGGACAGGTACATTCAGGGTTTCCATGGATGGGCTAAACATAGCCGCCGCCGCCTCCTTCTTCTTTTTTTTTTTTTGGTGTGATTTAGTCTACCTATCTCCAAAGCATGCTTTCTAAAGGTATTACTGCAGGTAGGAGGGCAGTTTCCACCTTTCCAGCCCCTTATCACAAGCTTTGTGTACCACTTACTGTCCACATCTCTCCCATGGGTGCTCAGTCATAGCTTCCTTGCTTGGGAGATGAGAGGCCATGCCTTTTAGACTCATGTAGCTCTTTCTACAACAGCACGTGACCCTGCTCATCGAAGAACTTGATAAGAAATTACAGGGTGAATCTGTTAAGAATGCAGGTCTCAATAAAAGTTAAATTGCCTCTAGGTGCCTCTCTGTACATATAAGTAAAACACCTTATTAAAGGAATCTCTATCTCCATTTGTTGCATCTGCTTTCTGTGAGGCAATGTGATAAGAGGAAAATGTGGAGTTATTTACTCATCCTGCCCAACAACTACTTGGACAGCTTGTAGATTCATCTCATTTACAAGCCATTCCCTTCCAGTTTCCTCTGTAGCTATTACCACTTCTTTCTTTCTTAATGACAGTGTAGAAGACAAACTAATTTCTACTAGCCTCTAGCTGTGAGATTTATCGGGAAGACTCTGAAATGTTTAGAACAACTAACTCAAGGAAAAAATAACCATTTGTGTCATGGATTATTAACTTTGTCTTGATGAAATTAGTGAAGATCCTTTTGGAAATGGAGCTTTCCTGTCTATCTCTAGTCCCTGCCACCTCCCCGTGGCTGCTCTTGGGATGATCATTCTGGTTTAAAAGTGTCTAGGAGGACCAAGAAGAACAGGGAATTTTTACAAGAGCATCCATCCCTTGACTTCTCTAGTGAGCTGGCCTCAGAAACTCTTTCTCTATGAGACCTGTGGTCAGGGCTTTCTGTGCTCTAAAGCCAACCAAGAACTATTATAACAAATCAATTTGGTTCCTGTTTAGCAGAAAGAAAGTCCCTTGGAAGAAAAATACCTAAATATGTGACCTCTAGTGCTCCAAAAGCATTGCATTTGCCAGCATGCAGACTGCCGTTTATTTTTCCCCACAAAGCACTGTCTTATTTGTGTGTTTCTCATTCTTGTTTTTTTGACAAGTTACTTTAGGGCCTGTCTGATTCAGCCTGTAATAAAAGTGATAACCAGTCCCTCAGAACCCTGAGACTTTGCTAAGACTTCACAGACATCTTTGCTTAGAGGAGAATCTGTAACGTACTTTGTCTCTGGAACTGTACTGCCCTGCGACATCAGGGCTGCAATGGAAGTAACAGGCGTATTATCACATAGCCACCCCATTTATATTCAAATGTGTTCCTAAGGGTTGACAGGCAAATGATGTAAACTGTGTTGTGTGGTCACTGTGGAGCCGGATCCCTGAATTAAGCTGTGGGGGCTAATGTGGTGTTACCATAAAATGCTCCCTCAGGTTGAAATTTATCTTCTTTGTGCATTTTAAAATTGTCGAATGGCTTGATGGAATCATTCCTCCTCCGCGCTGCACACAATCTATTAGAGCAGTTCAACCCCTCTCCCTCTAGCTTCCCTATTTTTTAGGGCTTTCTGTACTCTTCCATGGCTAAAAGGGTTTTGTCAACCTGTTGGTAGAAGCCTGTCCTCTGGAGCTTCACAGAGCCTCCCCACACCAGCTACCTTGGATTTCATGTCACTTTCAATGGTTTACTTAACCCTAAAGACCCATATGGGAACATTTAACACAGAGAGTGGGAAAGGCTTTGTCAGAGACAATTGCACAGGTGTTCTCCTTGGGCACAACTGCTGCTGTTCTGGCTGCAGGTGGCCACATGTGCGTTTGGAGCCCAGGGAGTCTTGGGTGTGAACAGATAGCACTCTTCACTCTCCACACTGTCCCCTTACATTCAGCAGTGAGCAGAGCTCCCTGCATCTCCTGTGCCCTCTGTTACCATCTACTTTCTCCTGAGGCTTGGCTGTGGTGCCCTCTCCCAGGACAGGTGGGGTGGCAGCAGTTTTGCAGAGAAACCTCACCTGGGGTGGATTTCTCAAGCTGTCACATCGGTTGTCAGCTCGTCCTCCCCGCTGGACCCTCTGTCGGCTGCTTGTCTGACTTTGCTGGCCAACCACAACCCATCTGAGGATTTGGTCAGAGGTCGGTTCCTTCTGTTTGCCTCTGTGATGTCTCCCTGAACAGTCTACTTTGCTTGATTAATGACAGAGGGAAGAGAAAACTGGGCTCTTTAGAGGTCTGGAGGAAATGCAGCCTTTCTTAATGAAAACATTTCCCACACTTTCAGCTTTGGTGTTGGGAGGATAATGGTCTAGTTCTGACCATGGCCTGCAAT